TGTTTTGTGTAATATCAGTTTTTAGAAAATACTGATTATTAGCTCAATTACGCTTAACAAAAGATTAACTTTTTTAAAATTACTAGTTCCAAATAATTAAATTCTGTTTTTACTGATTCAGACAATTTTTAGGCATTAGCTTCAAAATTATAAAATAACAAGAGTCCAAAATAATATATAAAATATTTCTAAAAAGTTTCTAAATTAAGTGAACTACTGACCCATTATATTTTGTATAAAAATAGTCATGTTGTGGAAATGTTTGAGATTGGTGATATTTTGGACTCAAAGCCGAGGCCTTTTGTGGTCTGAAAAAGTTGCAAGCATGCAAGAATTTGGAAACTTCATCAGTTTCAAAACATGGTTGATATTTGCTGTCTATAAATAGTGTTCATGTATCTACTTTCCTTCTCAAGTTTACCTTTAAACAAAATCTAAAATATTTGTAAAAAAACATTCATTCCAAGATGATGTGTTGCATGTATACTATTTGAATGTGAATGTTACTTCTATAGATGTAATGACGCTACAGTATAAACTTATATTTAAATAATTCTGATTGAGAATATGGATCTTTGGTTGTTAAACATGAAATAGTTACTAAGAAACTGATTTATTAAGTTTTGCTTTATTTGTGGTTGTAAAAGCTATAAATAATTATTTGAGAATTGTTAATTGATGGTAAAATATTTCTATTAATTTATTCATTGATGGTATTCATGCACATGCTTTAATCTTCAGAAAGTAATTACATCTTTAATAAACTACATTTACACCTGCGTTGGTTTGTTTTGTTTGAGGTATTCTGGGTAGTGATTTTATATAATTTTTACCAGATATATCATTAAGTTTAAGTTTTTTATTCTTTATTATAAAGAAAGTTTTTACACTTTTACAAGTGAAAAAGTTTTACTACTTTGGGAGGAAAATACATGGAAGTACTGGAATTACAAGTTTCATGTAGTAGGAGCACTTTTTTAAAGTTTAATTTACCATAAGAAGTAGTAGCTGTAGAACTGACTTCGTTTACTAAAAAATAAATTTACAACTTGAGACAAAGAGTGTGTACATTTATATGTTTAATGCTTTCTATATAAAAAATGTTTTATTACTAATTATCTTTCTTAAATCCAGTTACTAAAGATATTGTTTTTTTTAAATTTGTTATTCTTATATATGTAATAAATACACAAGTTGAATAATTATGTTACAAAGTTTGAAAGTTTAGTTCTTGATGGTTTTATGTAATTTAAAGAGAATTATAAATAAGTTAGTTAAAGATACTAAGTATAAAAGTCTCTTTCTAACCATTCTTACTGGACTGGAATGATATGATTTTAGATATGAATACATTAAAATCACATAGCTATGTAGCAGAAATTTAATCTATATGTATGTAGTGTAAAATAAGTTTCACTCCAATAAACAGTAAGGAATTCTTTGTGGTCTTAAGTTTTTAATTCATAATTATTATTTTTTTGTTAATGTAAAATTAAAGTCTCACTGTGATAACTTCAAAATTAGTTTAAATTTGCCTACTTATTTAATTTCCTTATTTCTAATTCCATGTTGAGTGATACTAATGTGCAGTGCAAACAGCACTATTAAGAGTAGGTTGCATATAGTTTTGGAGGTTTGCCACCCACTGTGTGAGTACGTGTACTAGTTGCCTTCTGAGAGTTATATTTAGACCCAAATCTCATTTGTGTCTCTTTTCTTGAGGACTGTTTAACAGTAAATGTAGGTTGCTTCTCAAGTCTGAGGTACGCTTGGAATAGTTCTTGTCCAGATTTCATAAACTCAAAAATCAATTTTTTTATTTTTTTTGTGAGTGGTAATTATTAATAATAATCTATTTGTATAAGAATTAGTATTATTCTGCTCTTATCATAGAATTAGATCTACAAAAGTTTGCAAGGCAGCTGTAGTCTTAGGCTTAAGAATGCTGGGAAGAGTTTCAAAATTATTTCTGTTGGCTCTAGAAAATAAAACACGTAGTTGGTTATTTGATTGTGTTTTGTGAACTGATGTAAGGGCTCAGTTAATATTGTGAAGGAAATAATATTAATAACTTTTTTAAAAATGTAGTAAATGCATTCAGTAAAGCATGCTAACAGTTTAAAACATTACTTAAGGAAATAATATTAAGAATTTCTCCATTTTTTTACTAATGTAGTGAAATGCTTTTGATAAAGCATGCTAACAGTTTAAAACATTACTTAAGGAAATAATATTAAGAATTTCTCCATTTTTTTACTAATGCAGTGAAATGCTTTTGATAAAGCATGCTAACAGTTTAAAACATTACTTAAGGAAATAATATTAAGAATTTCTCCATTTTTTTTAATAATGCGGTGAAATGCATTTAATAAAGCATGCTAACAGTTAAAAACATTACTTAAGGAAATAATATTAAGAACTTCTATAAGCATATTTTTTAATAGTGTAGTTATATGCATTCAATAAAGCATGCTGACATTATGAATCCTAATTGCAGCTGATTCTTGTTTATTTTTCAAAAAACAGCTCTTAAGGTTATCTTTCCTTTGTTGTTTAAACATGCTTTCCATTCTCTGCATAGTTGCCAAAATTATATCAAGTTTTCAGAAAATAAAAATATGATCTGGTAGAAATAAAAGTTATATTGTGTACATTCATGACTTAAATTTATGGGAACCTGAAGCATTGTTCATGGTGACATTATTTGTTACAATTGTGACCTTTAACCTTACTAAAATAAAATTGTGGGGCATCACTCAAACTTGATTAAGTTTCTTTAAATACATAGCTTATAAAATATGCACATATCCTTCAAGTATATGCATTCAATTTCAGAAGAAAGAAAAGAGGAAAATCTGTCTTCTCAAAGAGACTGTATTTAAAATATATTGATCAGTCTTTTTTTACCATATAAATATGATTATGTTTGATAACAGTGATTATAGCTAGTTAATTCAGTTTATCCCAAAATCTCACATAGATTTCTGTCACTGGATATGTGGGATCAGGATTATAAGTTAAATTGCTATCTGTGGCTACATTGTCATGTATCGGACTTTCATTAGATTGTTTTATGATCAATGATCTTTCTAGCTTGAAGGTTTATCCCACAGCAATAAGAAAAGTTAAAACACTGAACACAATAACTTGCACAATAATTCCTAAATGCAACACACATTAAGAATTGTAGAGCTTGTCTCTTTCCCAAATGTGAAAAATGAGCAGGTTGTTTCCACACAACCATCTTAGACTAGATCAAATATAGACTTAGATTTTAGAACATGAGCACATGGAGCTAGACTATGTTTTGTAACATGCTAACAGTATAAAACATTAAATAGTAAATTCTGTAACTAGCTTTATTAAAAAGTTCCTTTATAATAATTCTGCTATCAAACAATTATTTTTTGGGTTTGTGTGCGTTTATGGGACATCACTCAAACTTGATCAAGTTCCGCCAAAACGTGCATGTGGTTATGCAAGCTCTACCTGTGCATATAAAAAATGACCATGTAATGCAGTAAAGAACCTTCAGCTATTTAAGTTTGCAGTATTAGCTAAATAAAAACTACATAATCAGTATTTTCATTGCATTGTATGTTTTGAAATTATCACAAACAAATAATGTATATAAAATGTATAACTTTAAATGCCATAGCAATGCACATACAACTAAACTGTGCTGTAATATTTTGAATATAACATATACTTCATTGCATTTTTTGTTTTATGTGATATATCTTTGATTTCTTAAATATATGATTGTACTTGTATGTGAAAGTTCTCACTAATTCCGTGAAAAATGTTTAAAATAGTTTTTCTCGTTGGATATTATTTGATGTATTAAGAAAATGAAGTGCAAGTAAATAACATTTTTTTTAAAAATGTTAACTTTTTCATTGACTAACTTTAACATATTTTATATTAAGGATTCTGTGTAAATGTTACAACTTTAATTTTTTGTAGGCCAGAAACAGCCAGTAGGGCTGCTACCTCAAAGATCCTTTCGAAATCTCCTTTCTGTTGTTCATCTCATAATCTTCATATAACAGAAGCAGCTTTAAGCCCAAAGATAACTGAAAAACTTGCAAACACAGTTTCTCTTGAGAACAGCTCTAGCATAGCCCTTCATGAAATGGCTGTAAGTGGTGCTAATGATACTAACAAAAACCATCAATCACCAAACACAGAAAAAAGTGAAGAACATTTGTCTGTAATGATTGAACCTCCTGAAACAGAAAAAGATACCGAGACAACAGAAACTGCAGCAAAAACTGATGGAGAAGAACGGTGTGTAAACAGACATGTAGATGTACAAGATGTGTCTAGTAATGCACCAGCTTCATCTCGGGAAGCGCCTCACAGACGATTTTACCGTAGCTTATCCGCTAGACTTCCAAAGAGTGTTTCAAAAAGGAATGAAGAACCAGAATCTAGTGATGAAGCTTGTTGTACAAGATTGGCTTATGTTTTCCAAAGAAAAGCTTTAGATCTGGCATCTCGTCGTTCTGAAAAAAAGAATCCTCCTATTAAACCCCCTAAGCCTACACCTGAAGCTATTGCAAAAGCATCCGCTTCAAGGGAAGCACATGAAAATGAAGTACGATTTCGAGAAAAACGAACTCGAGGACCTCGACCAAGAAGTTTCGGCGATGATATTCCTGTCTGCAAAGGGGTTATTCGATTCATTGATGACAGTGGAAGTGAAGTATCAAGTGATTATCCTAATGTTGACCTATATCAGTTTATCACAGTCAGGAAGCATGATAGTAGTGAAGCAGACTATTCAGACAATGGTCTGTATGAAATTCCTGATGTGCCAAACTCTCAGAAAGAAGTTCCTGCTTCAGGAAAAACAATTTTACAGCAAGAGAGAGAAAATGAAGCCCAGATGTCAGAATCTTCAGCACTTCAACATTCAAGTATTTTCCCCAAACTTTCTTTTGGAACAAATTTTAAAGACAAATTTTTTAAACCAATGCTTGGAAAAACATCTTCACGTTCACCCTCAAAATCATCTCAGGGAAATAGTGATGCTTTAAAAATACTTTGTGAAACTAAACATGATCAAGGGGAAAACACAAGTAGATTAAAGGAAGAAACTGTGAACACAGAGCCATTTTTGGAAGAAGATATGAACTTTTCAGGATCAGTTAGTGAAACAAAAAAAAGAATAAAAACTTCTAATACAAGTTCAAAAGTATTTCCAGAACCAGTTGAAAATACAACAAAAACTTCTCCTGAAATCAAGACTCTAAAACAACTTGCTCAAGAAAAATCTGAGGTAACAGAAACACAATTTTCATCAGCAGCTACAAAAGAGAATCTTCCTGAAGCTGCTGCTAATGATTTTGGGATTCCTGTTAGACCTGTTCCTCCAGCAAGAAGTAAATCTCAAAGAGAAAAACATGTAGCTAAATCTCCTGTTCACAAAAAGTCTTTTATAGAACAAAATGGTAGTGAAGTTTTTTCTGAAGAGAAGGCCATTGCTAGCACTGATATAACTTACACACAAAATGTTCAGGAACAGTCAAATAAGCCCCAGGAAGAAGTAACAACTGAAAAATATTCTTTATCTGAAGAAGAAAAAAGACTAGCAAAAACTGTACAAGATGTTAACTTTGTTGATAGGTTAAGAGAAGATGAAGAAGAAGGATGTGCTGAAAACGTCAAAGAAATGGCAGTCTGTGATAAGCTAACAGAAGAAAGAAAATCAGCTGAAAGTTGCAGAGAGTTTTCAGATGTTGATCTTACAGAAGAAGGAATATCTACTGACAATATGAAAGAATCCATCTGCTTTGATAAGATAGCACAACCTATTTGTCTTGATAAGCAAATGGAAGAAAAAAGGTCAAGTGAAGAGAGCAAATCAGCTCAACAGGGTGAATTAGTGCAAGAAACATATTATGCTGTTCCAAAACCAGCTGTTCCTCCACGTCCAAAAAGACTTGGAGTTTCTTCACAAAGATCACTTCAAGCTTTCAGTAATGAAATCAAAACCAAAACTCATCCACCAAGATCAGTGAGCCCAAATAAGAAAGCCAGTAGCATAAACAAGCAAGGGAGATCTGTTTCCTTAGCACATAAAACTCCAAGACCAAATAGCCCTTTAAGTAAGACACAAAGACCAGTTAGCCCTTCCAGTAATACAAAACGATCAACAACACCTATAAACAAAGTAAGACCAACTAGCCCATCACAAAAACTTGGAAAACCAGTTAGCATTACACCTAAAGCCAAAAATCCATCTAGTCCAGTGAGTAAGCAACAGAATGAAAGGCCAAACACTCCAACAGCAAAAGGTCCTAAACCTACACGACCTCCTCGACCTTTTAGTCCACAAGCTGTCCCTGATACATTTACCACTCCACAGACTGATGCCACAACTCCTTCTGATAAGTTGGAGGCAACAGATCATCTACCTGAAGCCACAAATTTTACTGAAGATGTAAAGGTTGATAACAATGGGTTAATACAGAAATCTGGGGAAACTTCTTTGGTAGTTGGTGCTCTAAGCTTATCTCCCAGGGCAGTTCATAAGCAAACCTTTCTAAGGAAAGATAAGTCTGTTACCTTTGCTGATGAAAAGTCTTCAGGTGAAGCTCTGGTGAATCAAGTGAACTTTGAAGATGGTGTAAAGTGGAGGACATATAGAACATCAAGTGGAAGAATAAAAAGAGACCTCATACAGTCATGTTGCCTGTTTTAAAAAGTCCTTTTTTGGAGAGTTTTCAAAAGGTTCCATCCCCGGTTATAAAGGTTTCCACACTTCCTCGTTCTTTATCAGAAAAGAAAACACCACCCCAGCGTCCCCCTCCACCAAAAATTAAGCAAAAGAATGAGATAAATAATAAGCATGAGGTAAGTAATACATCACAACAGAGTCCTGAGATCAGAACAGAAGTTAAACCTTTTGCAGTTGAAAGCAAGCCTCCTCAGGAAGATGTAACCCTAGAAAACATTCAAAACAGTACTTACTTTCCTGATGAGTCACCCTTAAATACTGGAGGAAAGAAAGTAATATGTTTGATAAAAGATCCAAACGATGAAGCCAAAAATTTCTCACAGATAAAACCAGAACACCGTAGTTCACCTGAACAAGATAAGATAAAGAGAGATACATGGGAAAAAGAGAACAAGGAAGTAGAGAACATATTATCAAATGCTGTAGGTATGGAGATGCATTTTAAAATTCCATCATTAGATAAGAGTGAGGCTGAAAATACTTTAACCACAAATAAGAATATTTCAGAAGCTTTACTTAATCAAGAAAGTCCAGAGCCTCCTAGACCTCCAAGACCACCTCCACCAGATTATAATTCTCTGAGAAGAAAATTAAATTACTATGAAGAAATTCAGAACTCTCCTAAAGATAGTTGCATTTCACCCAATACTTCAAATTCACAAGTCATCGTGACAAAAACACAACCAAGACCCCCTCCAAGAGTGAAACGTAAACGGTCAAGAACAGTTGAAATTGTGACTCCAGTTTGGAAGATGAATGAAAGAAAAACTCGTCGCAGCCAATCATTAGATGAGTGTGATATCAGGAAAAAAAAAGCTGATCGAGAAATAATATCTTCCTCAACTGTTCCAAGAGTTAAAGCAGTCTATACTCAGGTTCAGAAAGAATCAGTTATTAAGAATAAATCAAATTCTTCAGTTGCAAATGATAAAACGTTTGAGGGTTATCAAAAAATGAAGTTTCGTCCACTACCCCCACCCCCTCCTCCTCCACGTTCTAGGTCAAAAGGGCTTTCTCCTCAGGGTGAAGATACATGTAGTCAAAACATTAGCATGACTCATACTTGCTATAATGACTCATCAGGTTTTAAAGAATCAAATAACCAGAAAGACAGTTGGGTTGAAAGCACCGACTTGAAAAGTCTAGGTGAATGTGGAGTTAAGCAAATAGTGCAAGAGTCTATGGAAAGTGAACAAGTTTTACATGATAAGGAGTCTACAAAAATATGTCATTTAGGGTGGAAGAAAGAGCACAGTAAAATGGAGTCTCAACTAACAGGACAAGTACAAAATAATATTTGTAAAGTTCTTTTAGAAGATCAAAGAAGTATGCAATTACCTGAAGTAGATGAAAATGCCAATTTACCTGATATGTCAAATGAACCAAACATTCACAGCAAAAATGGTAATGTTCACCAACAGCACTCTACAGAAATGGATGATGAAATCAAGACAACTTTGGCAATAGAGGATAATATGGTTAAAGTAGCCAACAGTATATTTTACAACCAGGAATCTGCTGTCCCTATAGAACCAGTTCAGAGGAAAAACTCTAAGACACCTAGTCCTGAGGTAGAGAGGAATAAATATCAAACTTTACAGGACAAGAGAAAAACAAAATGGTATGATGCAAGTAACCTTCCTGCCAATGTAGAGGAGATTGACAGTGGTTTATTAGATAAACTTGAAGGAAGTTGTGATCCTGCCAGTTTCATAGATAAACAGCATTTCAGTGTAGCTCATAATGAAATAAAACAAAAAGAATTAGAACAAAAAAGTCTGGGTCAAAAAGATGAACAGAACAAGAATTTGCAGTTTTGGTCTATTGTGCCAGAAAATGAATTACCAAGTACTGGAGCAAAAGCCAAATGTTCTAGGGAACAGCAGCTGGTTATGCAGTCACCTGACCTTATAGAAAAGTCGGTACAAACAGTACCAGTAGAAGGTCTTTTTTCCTTAAAGAAAACAACTTTTGAACAGAGTGAATCAGAAGACACAGATGAGCTTACTCGAGATCTTCAAAGAGAATTGAAACTTATTCTAGAAAGGCACAAAAAGAAAGGATGGGGAGAAGGAGGAGAATCGAAAAATAGGTGTGATGAGAGAGGACAAGAAAGAACACGACTAGTTTTCCAGCATGGCAAACCTAAAATCAGAGCTTCACAGCAATTTCCTGTTTCTGGTGTAGAAGTTTCAAAAGAAAAAGAAAAATTTTTGCAGAGTAGCAGGTCTTCCACCTCAGAAATTAGCTGGCAAGAAGAATCTTCTGAAGATACTGATGAAGAGATCTTATCACTGACTCCTGATATTGAAGAAACTGCTGCACAGAAGAAGAAAAGACGTGTTTTTTACATTGCACAGGAGATCATGACATCAGAAAAATTGTTTGTTGACGTACTGAGACTACTAAATGAGGTAATTGACTTCTTTGTTTCATTCATAGTTTTGAAATATAAAAGAATCTGAAACATTTGGAGTAGAGCTGTAAGTTTTATATTATGATTTAAAGAAAATGTTTAAATGAACACAAGTTTTTGACTTTTAAAAGTCACAATCGTTTAATAAGAATGTAATTGAAAAAATTTAATATGTGTTTTATATGCTGCATTTTAAATTCAAAGCAGTAGATGCTACTTCATAAAATTCACACATCATATGATTGGGACATTCAGTTACGTTTTAAGTGATTCAGTTTTTATACGTGCAAGTATACATTTACCCATGTTCAAGTCTATTTATGTGTATGTGTAAATATGCTGTGTCACCATGCATTGGTATATTTTATAGCTAATAAACTTGTGCTAGAAGCAAGAAGAATCCTTAAGTTCATGTACTATGTCAATTCATGGAAAGGTAGTAGTGTCATAAATATTCTTGAAGTTCTTCAAAGCCAAGAATTTGTAAATAATATTTAGGTTTATAATCATGGGTGATAAATATTCACATTGACAATGTATGTAGAAATGATCTTTGCAAACTAAATTAAACATTGATTTTTTTTTACATATGCACCCTGTTCTTTTGAAGTACAAGTAAAACATTTTTAATATGTAATCAACTCGAATATGTATCTGTGGACTTGCTATTAATGATAAGAGTGAACAATTGGTTCAGTGATCATAATATTTAAATGTGTCATGAAAATACAGATATATCTTAGATAAACCAAAGTTACTTTAGTCTAATAAGTAAAAGGCATTTAAATATGTCTAAACAGAATTACTGGATACATCTGAACACTGAAATATGTATAAGTTATGAATTAAGTTACTAGGTAATTTTATTACAGATTTTATACTATGCAAGCATATAATTATAACTCCTTATTATCAGAGAAGAGTAGTAATGAACATTTTTCTTATTTTTAAGATTTAGTAATATGTGTGTTTCTTATGATTTAGGACTTCAGGAAAGCTGTTGGAGAAGCAGAGAGAGAACAAGGTACATCTATTATTCCAGAGGAAATTCTCAATCAGCTACTAAAGTACTTCCCTCAGCTTCAAAATCTCAATGAGAATCTACTAAGAGAACTTCAAGAAAGAATAGAACATTGGTAAGTAAGTAAGTAAGGGAAGTAAGTATTACATCCAGTATTGAGAACGATTACATAAAGCCTAAATCTTTAGTTCAGTATAATGATTTTGGTCTGTTAAGTTTATATTGTGTTTAACCCTTTTACGACAGGCTTGGTATAAAATACACAAGTTTGTATACACATATGCACACATTAAGTATTTATACTATAACTTTTAATGCTGTATTTGTATCTTCACAAAATTTGGTTGACTTTTAGTAATAATTCCAAGTCTTTTGTACACAAAAAATCAGATTTTTTAATGAAGTATTTTTACTAAAGATTTGTTTGTGAAAATATCGAGTCTTTATTGTTACTTGTCTGAGTGTGAAGTGATTTTCATGTCATGATTAAAAATCTCAAATATTGTTTGTGTAATCTCTAAAACCTCCTAAATACATTTCAAATGTTTGTTTTTAGTAAAACTTTATATTTTGTTTGTTATTTTCTTTACCCTAACTATACGGGGTCTGTCAGTTTGACCGATAGTCTAAATCTCATAACAATATGCATTTATATATATTTATTATTTTTATTATATTGACCTTCCAGACATGCCTGGCTAACAATACAAAAGTTACAATGATGCAGTGCACATGCACTCATGTTACCATATCCAATGGTATAAAACTGACCTTTAGTCTTTACAAGGTGACCTGTCTTGACTGTGTTTTAGTAGACTAGTACTTTTTAAAATACAGTCACATTTCAGTTATTATACATTACATATGTATATAGATTATTACAGTCTACAAACAAGTTCATAAACTTATCTTTCTTAAAACATAGAACAGTAAATGAATAAGTAAAGCAAACAATTATCTCTTCTTGTTACGATCTTTGTACTCGGTTGCTGCTTCTCTTTTGCTCATGGAAGATGTGAAACGAAATAATATTTTTTTTAGGTTTTATATATAGAGTTGACTAACAAAAAATCATAAATTACTTTATTAATACCATAGAATTCTACTATAATTTATCAAGTTTAGTAACTAAGCTGTATTTCAGTCTAAAAATTATGAAATGGCATCCTAACACATGAAAATGGCTGAGAAAGCCACTAGGAGGACATTCTGAGCTTTTGATTAGTTATTCACATGTCATATACACCGTTTCCAAAAATGGAAAAAGGTGAGTGGGGCCACTGTGTTTGATTCAGTACATGAACGATATCTCAGCAAGTAGAAAATATAGGAGGTTCTTATTTTATATTCTAGCTTCTCAATATTGGTAATTTGAGTTCCTAATTCGTACAAAACTATAGACTTTGCATTTTGACATCACAAACATCTAATTTGAAACAGTGCTGCATTCAACATACCATATGATATATAAAAATTGATATTTAGGATTTATTTTTTAATATTTACTTTTAAATTAAGAATTTGAATAATGTACAGCACTAAAATTTTAATTATAATCTACAGTTTGATACCAAACTTATTGACA